CAACTTTAAGACTTGTGGACTTCAACTCCCAGAATTCTCCGGCCAGCTGTGCTGGCCGGAGAATTCTGGGAGTTGAAGTCCACAAGTCTTAAAGTTGCCAAGTTTGGACACCTCCGATCCACAGGATCCCCGCGTCTCTCGGATTCCCGTTCCCCGCCTCTTACACGAGCAGCGTGCAAGAGAAAGTTCCTTTAGAAACTTTCCTTAAAACTTTTAAAAAGCGAAAGATAACTGCTCAAAACTCATTCGCAACAAACCCCCCACTTTCCAAGCCCCCTTGCACAAAACTTGACCACGTGACGCCACCTCGGCCGTCCCTGCGTGCGTCTCTCTTTTCCTTAAGTCGGGGCGGCTACGGCAATTCAACGGGTCCAAAAACTTCCTCGCGTGTAGCGAGGAAAAGGGGGTGTAAGACGGCGGCGGCGGCGGGGAGGGGGGGGGAGAGGAGGGCCCTGTGGATGCCGCGCGCTGATTGGAGAAGGGCGGCTCGAGCGGAGTTGTAAGGCGAAAGGGGATTGGCGGAGGCGCGGCCGCATGTGCCTAGCTCGCCGTCTTTGTATATACAGGACTCCGCTCGCCGAGCTCTTTTTTAACAATGGGCCGAAGGGGCCGCTTCACCGGACGGGGCTGGTAAGGCGAAAACTCCCCTCCCGGGGCGGGGAGGATGCCGCGGCTCTGGTGCCTTTTAAGCGACAGGTCCGCGGAGATGCAAGAGGCGGTTCTGCCGTGCCGGCCGCTGTAAAGAGCAGAAGCGGAGCTGCGAAACTCTCCGGTAAGCTGGACGGCGGTGGGAGGGGAAGAGGGAGAAGCGCCCGTCCGGGACAGCCGAGGCCGGAGTGGTGTGTGTGTGTGTGTGTGTGTGTGTGTGTGTGTGTGGAAGCGTGTCTAGCCCTTTGTTGTTGTGGCGTCCCCGCCGCCGCTGCCGCTTCTGGCCCCGGGTTCCCTTCTCCACCGGGCAAAGTGTTGGAAGTTGTTGCGGGACGGGCGGCGCGGCGCGACTGTCGAGGCTGCGCTCGATCGGGGAAGCCTGGAGGAGAGCCGCCCCTTCCTCTCCACCGGCCCGGCCGGCTTCCCCGGCTTGGGGAGATCCGGAGTCAGCCGGGCTCCTGCTCTCCCCGGAGAGATCTTCGGGTGATGGGAGCCGCCGCGTCCCCCGGCCGCTTCTTTGAGAAAAGAAGGAAGGAAGGAGTGGCATCAGCTGGGGCGCAACCCCGGCCGGCCTCCTCCTCCTCCTTCTCCCTCGAGGGGGAAGGTCTGGGACGCCGGCTGGGGCGGGAGGAGTTCCTGCCGCCGCCGGCATAAACTGAGCGGCTTTGCCCGGGAGTTGCGGCCCATCGATGAGTTCGGAACCGGCCGTGGCTTCCCCCTTTTTTCTTTTTGCCTCGCAGGCTCTGATCCCCGGCCTCCTCATCCCGTCCCATGGAGCTGGAGGGGCAGTGGTGGAATGGACAGCTGGCTGCCGACATCCACCAAGCCCTTCGCTACAAGGTAAGTGGCCGGATCGCCCCCTCGCTTCTACGCTCCCCCTATACACACACACACACACACCGATCTTTGGAGTAGTCCGCGGCCAGGCGGAAGAGATAGATGGGGGGGCAGGCTCTGGGTTCAAGTTTTGCTTTTACGGATGCCCTCTCTGCCCCCCCACTCCGAAGCCAAGAAGGTTTGAGTCTTGATCATCTGTGGAAAGAAAGCCCCCCCCCTTGAATTTCTTCTCTCCCCCCTCCAACTTTCTGAGTCATATAATTAGTCTTTGCACTCACAAGTGGGGAAACTGAGGCAGATTCCACTCATCATTCTTCCCTACGATTTGCTTCTGGAGCTTCTTCCAGGCCCTGAAAGTGATGTTAACTGAAACTTCACAGGACTTCAGGGCATTGCTTATTGCTTGTGGGTTTCAGTCAGGAGAAGAAAACAGGCTGGGATCCTGTAGCGATTGTGTAGGATCTGGCTAGACGATGCCCTGAAGTTAATAGATCTTCTCAGTCAGCAGCCAAACCCACTGATTTCAACCACGGAGATGTGTAGTTTTGTTGGTGCCAATTTCCTTTCTCACCTCTAATCCTGGCCTGCTCCTTGCCCTAAAGTGCAGATACGGAGATTGGTGTGGGAGCATTGTTCCTTTATGAGAAGAACAGTTAGCAGATTCTGTTTTGGGCCTACTAAAGTTTTAATTTTCAGTGAGAAAAAGTAAAAAAAAAAAACCCTTCTGGGGTTTCTTCAGGGCGGCATAATAAAATGAAATGGTCGTCCCAAGTTGCAGAATGGTTGTGGCTGGGAATTGGATGGCATGTAAATTTAACAAATTATTGAAACTGCTTTTCCAAAACCTGTGGAAGAAAAACAAAGTGGATATGTCAGATTTTAAAAGTTCATTTAAGCCCTTTTGCTCTCATCTGATTTCTTTTTTCTAATCTAATGGCAGTCAACAAGTAACCTTAATCACCGAGTAAGTAACCCATCTAGGTGTTTGTGAGAGAAAGTAGCTTATTTCCAAATCCTGCTGTGTCTCCCGTGTGTCTATTGCAAATGCTTCTCTGCCACTTCAGTCACCTGACTCTCATGGCTTTACAGCAGAATGCATTACAATAAATCAACATTTATCAGAAGCTGTCATAATACTGCCAATGCAAGTTCAAGATGCTTACAATAATACCAGCACCATAAAAACACAACCTAACCTAAACACGTTTCTTCTTTCTTTGAAACATTTGATCAGGCTGGAAAAATTTCTGGTCAGTATCCCTGAAGTTTTCTAGCTTGACTGACAGCCCCAGATTGGGTTGCTGAACATAGTTTCCTGGGGCCACGGCTTAGCAACCTAAAAAAATGACGACAATGTCATAGATGTTGGGTTACAGGAACAACTGTCAGAGAACAGTTGAAGGGACTTCAGCAGCTGATGGCTGCTTTGCATCTTAGTTAGAAATTGCTGCTTTAGGTCTCTCTCCCTGCAGGCAGGCTGCAGTGAACACACAGATTCAAAAGATCAGCTGAAATAACATTTATTGCTCTGCAGATGTTTGTAACAATGCTCAGATTTACCCAGCCCTGAAGAATCTGGAAGTTTTACATGCTTTTTCCTTTTGGAAATACTGGGCTCAGGAGCAAACACTGCATCAAGTTACCATAGCTTGTGTCTTTCTGCATTACGTTGGTCCAATTAATTAGGGTTTAATCAATGAACCATGGTCAAGTGATGTGTTTACCAGGCAGTCATTTTTTCTTGCCTTATAAATCAGTGGGCCCCAAACTGTTGGGCACCAGGGATCAGTTCAGCAGACTGGAGGAGATGTGGTTTTGTGGGCTGCTTGCATCCCACGGATGGGGGTTTGCTTGTTTGTGTGGCTCAGTTTCTGACATGCTATGGACCTGTGCTAGTTCACAGACAGATGTTGGAGACCTCTATTACAAATGTTTTATCAGTTTCTGAAGAGACTGAGATTTTTAAAAAGGTTCCTGGTGGGATATTCACCGGGTGCAGCTTCTTATCATTATACTGTAATGATAAAGGTGCATTAGTTTAGGTTCTTTCTTTTGGCATAAATCTTTTTAGAGCAAGCATGGTAGAACCACTGGGTATAATGTACTGATTCACTTCTGTTATTCATGTAAATGTTTGAGGCTTTGATAATTCTTTGAAATGTGGTTGTCTCTGATCATTAATATGCTACAGTAATTATCTCTCGTATCAAAAGACTTTTCATCCATTGATTTTAGTTCCCATCGAGGAAGGGAACATATTCATTTTTTACCTTGATTATAAGCTTGTTTAACTCTGAAATCTCCCCAAACTCGGTGGAAGAAAATTCTCAAGTAATCTTACAGCTGTAACTTTTAGTCTCTTTATAATCTTTGTATTTAAGATATCTTCAGGATTCATGTGTTAGTGCTAAGTTATAACATAGTTTTTATTTGGTGATATTTAATACGTTAACTTGGAGATTGTGTGATTTGTAAATCATGATTTGTGGCTTAATATGCAGGGACATTAGTTTCTCCCAAAAGCCATGACTTATCAAATCATGTTTTAATTTACTATATGAAGGCAGTTAATAAAAAACCCAACATTTTGCTTTTAGATATTTCCATCTCCTTGGCTGTGTTTGTATCATAAACCTAACTACCCACCATGTTGTGCAAACCCAGTCTATGTAGTAACTTTAAGGTACAGTGGGTTATTGAACCCAGAAAATCAAGTTAATTCCCTTACCAATCAAATCATGATATAGAAACAATGTAAATGTCAGTCCTATTTAAATTAAATGAATGTATATTTCTAAATTTTTTAGCAAAAGTTATTTGTGACGTGCTCTGCTTTTCCATCAGTTGGAAGGTTTGGTTGATCTCACTGTACCTCAGTCAGGATCATTTGATGTACAACTCTGACCTGAGAAATTTAGTTCAACCATTGTATATTGTTGTTTGTTAATTTGATAGGATTATTTGAGCAGGTGGAATGTTCTAATTTCTTTATAGAGTTATCTTTTGTTTATTTTCTTATCTCTTTTTTCCCCTTTGGATCCATGACACTGATTGACCATTTTGAATCAGTCAGTTATATCAGAGCAGTTATTAATTTCAGTTGGTTGAATAAAATAGTGGCTATTGCTGAGGTTCTTGTAAAATATTAGCCATATGGTTTGCAAACTACAACGAATGGGTTTTGGTGCAAGTATGCCTAACAAATCCAAAAGCCGGGCTTGTTTTTCAGATGAACATTGTTTAAACCATGAATGATTTCAGTTTGAGGGTCACAAGTGCATATCAGGTGATTCCCAATGAAATGAAGTTACAAGGGGTTTTCATTAAGTTTCTTTCATGGAATTGTACCAGGAATCCAGAAAACGTTAGAAGAGAATATTTGTGCCTCAGGATTCAACTATGCAAACCTTGGTACATTGATGATGTTACCTAGTTTGATAATGAAATGTTTGCCAAAAAAAGCAAAGTCAGAAAGCTCCAAGGACCCCACAGTGCTATTCTCCTTTTACTAATTCTACCTTGTTTGCTCAGCATTTTTTTCTGTCTGTCTTTATAGTAGAAAAACAACAAAAATAAAAGATGCAAAATAGCTCAATATCTTATTAATGACATCAGCAGCTAAATATACGGAGCACCCAGAATCTTCCTTTGGCTTATTGCAATTATAGCAATACCCAATGTCCATCTTGGGTCTTTTCTAGGTTAATGATCCACTGATAATGTGATGCCTGATGGCCTTGGTTATTGGTACTCCCAGAATACTTCCCGTCTAACAGATGTAGATGCCTCTGAAGTAGGAATTGCCTTCAAGTCAAGCAACACTCAGAGAAAGTTCACTGTTTAAATTACTGCTACTCTGATTCATGTTAAACTGCTCCATCCAGTTTTGCCAACTGTAAAGTGGAACTTAAGTATGTGACTTTTTTCATTGCAGGGAAATAGTGTGAATAAATATGATAGCAGAAAGGCATTTAGTAGGCTGTCTAACAACATCGAATAGACTAAAACCCCTTTCTTCTTCTTCCTCTTCTTTCTTCTTCTTCCTCTATTTTGTGTATGTATGTGTGTATGTGTGTATGTGTATATGTGTGTGTGTGTATGGTATTCAGCTTTGTTCGGGTATTTCCCCACGTCGTTATAGTTGTGCTTTTAAAGTTGTAGCAACGTTTCGGCAGAATCTCATCTGCCATCATCAGGCTTCTGTATAGTGTTCGTCTGTGAATCAGACTTTCACAGCCGTTTCTGTTTTAAATTTGGTGCTAGCCATCTGCTGTGCCAGAATGGTTTTTCTTCATCCTGATTGGTTGGGAGTCTTGGTCTGTGTTTATTGGTCTTGGAGTTTGTTGTGTTCTGCTTGATGGGTGTTTCTAATATCTTCTGTCTGTTTTGTAGTGTTTTTGTATCTTGATTGGCTGGCAACATTGTGTTCCTGTATTGGAGGCTTTTAGTGCAGCTTGGCTCCGAGTAAATGGATGGCTATCATTTATTAGGAAGCTAGATTTCATCTGGGTGCCTGGTTGGGGTGTGTTTGAGCTGGAGGTATCAGGGGAGATCTGTTTGTGCCCAAGTGTTTGCCTGGCTTGTGGTGTGGAGATTTTGTTTGTGAGTGCAGGCTTCCAAATAATTGACAGTCTGGTGGAATCATCTTTTCTATTCATGCTTTCAGGTCTTTTTTCAATCTCTATGGCTTCTCTGATAATTCTGTAGCTGGGGTTTTCTATAGTGGCTAGAGTTTTGGTGCCATTGAAGTTGATGCTATGACCTGTGGCTTTCAGGTATTGGAGTAGTGAGGAAGCGTGTTCCAGCTTTTTTACTGCATTTTTGTGTTCATCCAGGCAGGTACTTATTCTTCTATTGGTCTGTCCGATGTATGTGGCAGGGCATGATGCGCAGGGGACTTCATATATGCCTTGGTTTTCCAGGTCAATTTTCTGCCGAAACGTCGCTACAACTTTAAAAGCACAACTATAATGATGTGGGAAAATACCCGAACAAAGCTGAATACCACACATATAGATACCCGCGAAAACTTAAGAAAACATATATATGTATGTATATATATGTGTGTGTGTGTGTGTATATATATGTGTACATTATATATATATATATAATGTATGTATGTATGTATATGTGTATGTGTATATATGTGTGCGAGAGAGAGAGAGAGAAATACCACTCACGCATCATCACAAAGTCTCCAGAACTGTAAAGCCTACAAACTTGAAATTTGGCATGTATGTTCCTCTTGGCTTCTAGGTGCTCACTAAGAAAAGATTTTTCAAAATGACCATCAGAGCATTAGTATTTCATATATTATTATTAACACACTCTGATGCTAAGGAGTTCTACTCCTCCTCCCTACCTGAAAAGAAATCTGTTCCAAATGCAAAATCTGTTCCAAATGCAGAAGAGAAGAGTTTCAGTTTTAGTTTCACGGCAGCAAGCATCTTTAGCACAGAACAGTGAGCTAAGCCATGCCCAGGCTCCTTGCTGTTTCCTCCTTGGTCACATAGCAAATACTGTTTCAGTTTCCAAACAGCCCTCAAATCTCTCACACTGACACGACGCTACCCAAATGAATACTGATGAATGCTTGTAGGCAGAGGCAGAATTTCCCCCCTTATTTTCCTCCCCCAAAAGTAAGCCCACTCACATAGTTTCCTAGCGAAGCACAGATATCCAGCTAGTATCTAATAAATTGCTTATGTTTTAGAATCATTAACAGAAGATGTAAGTTGGGTTATACCCAAGAACTACAATAAAGAATAAAACTGAACTTTAAGGTTGTTTGTGATGGTGATGGAGAAAGGAAATGTTCACTATTGCCAATTTTTCTAATATTGATGTGTTCTATTAAGCTGCAGTATGATTTTTTTTTTTTTTTGAGTTAGGTGGGTGAGCTCAGCTCCTCTGATTTTTGAATAGATTTCTTACTAGCATTCTTTGTCAGTCTGACCATTGTAATAGTATGACTTGGTGCAATGGGTGAATTTAGAATTATGGGATGGAAAATTAGGTATCAGAAGATTAATCTGCCTTCTGTCTTTTTCTTCTGTAGCAATATTTCTCAATCTTGGCAATGTTAAGATACATAGACTTCAACTCCCAGAATTCCCCAGCCAGCCATGCCACACATTTTAAAGTCCACACATCATAGCAGACTTCTTTTGTTTCCTGATAGCTCTGCTTGGCTTTTGGAAGGGGAAGGGCTAGTATCAATATTATCTTCCCCAGTTGGAATATTAGCCGGCAAAGGGAGACATTTTAAGCAATTTGCTTTTTCTTTCAAGAATTTTTTTAAAAATATATATATTTTAAAGTTGGAAAATGTGTTTCTCAGTATATTCACCGTCAGTATTTGATTCTGTCGTAAATTAAAATAGATTATTAGCCATGAGGTTGTATCATCCAAGCTCACAGGTTTAGCATTGATGAAAAAGAGATGAATTTCCTTTATGTAAGCACAACCAAATTTATACAGCAAATGAGAGACATCAAAGACAACTGATGATTGTCAGGCCCACTAGGTAGACCAAACCAGAATATCAACTCCACAGCAAAACTGAGACTATAGTTTATTGAGATACACTATAATAACGACATCTTGCAAAACTGATTGTCCTTTAACTCTCTTTCTCCTTGTATCCCAGTTAATCAGTGTCATTTGTTTGGCTCTCTTTGAATATTATCTGGCTTCCCGGGATTCAACGAATGTTTCAGTTCTCATTTTTAGGATAATAAAATTTTTTGTAATTTTTTTTTTTCCTCAGGGGACTGAAACTTCCAAAACTTCATTAAATTTCAGAAAAATATAAAATACCAAAAGGCAAAACTGACAAGATCTTACCCTCAATACAACTATTGGCCATTTATTGTTCAGACAATATTTCAAATTTAGTAAGCTGCTAGCATTGTCGTCTTCAGTTTACCATAACTGTATGCTTTATGCAAGGAATTTTCCCCTTGGGTTAGAGTGTCTTGGTTCAAATCATATAGAACAGGGGTGTCAAATTCGCATTGTCACGTTGTCATATGATGTATTGTGACTTTCCCCCCCTCTGCTAAAATGGGGTGGGCATGGCCAATGTGTGACGCATTCAGCCTGAGCGCCGCAAGTTTGACACCACTGATACAGAATGATTCAACGCCATTTTACATTTCACCATTTTGGTATAGCTCGCTGGGGAACAGGTATGCCGATATGATTGCCCTGTACTTAGTGTCTTCATCCTCTTCTCAGCTCCAAGATGGAAGTGCTGATGCCTATCAACAACCATGTCAGTTGCCTATCCCACATGGTTATTGATTGTGTGATAATAACAATAGTTAAGGGAAACTCAACTGTGAGCAACAATAACAACTATCCCAAAGATGAATGCCACAAGATTCTTCTCTTCCTGCAATTTTTTTTTCCAACTGTTTTGTGGATTTAATGTCTTGGGCTGCCCCTGTTGTTCGTAAGATTAAAGGAGTTGCTGTAGTGCAAATTCTAAAACACTTTGTGTCCTTTTTTAAAATATAAGGGATATTAAACACTGATTCTTAGGAACCCAAATTTCAAAATGATCTAAAATATGCTCAGGGATCTGTTGTGGTATAAAGCCTGTTTGTTGGTTATGCTGAATGCTGTGAATGTTTTCACAGCGTAGTTGCGGAATATATTTTATGGTTTTCGACATGGTTATATATGTTTTGTTTCCTCTGTTTTTCTATTGCGCTATTTCTTTTGAAGTTTTTAATGGACGTGAGACGCCAGTGTCACTTATGTAAGACGGGCAACTATGCAAATTGAATGAACGAAACAAATGTAATTTGGATGTAATTATTCTCTGTGCCAATTTCTCTACAGCAGCAGCTGCTTTTAAACGCTGTTACTCTCTCCTTAGGAGCTGAAGTTACCCTCTTACAAAGGCCAGTCTCCCCAGTTAAATCTGAGAAGGTATTTTGCAGACCTGATTGCCATTGTGAGCAACCGGTTTCGTCTCTGTCCTGCTGCCCGACATCTTGCTGTTTACCTGTTGGACCTCTTTATGGACCGTTATGACATCTCCATTCAACAGCTGCACGTGGTTGCTCTTTCCTGCTTGCTTTTAGCGAGTAAGTTCAAAGCAAGAAGCTCAACAGGTTGACATTGCTTTACCCAGACTAGAAACCAAATAGTTAAATTGCAAAAATGGTTGGGAATTCAATACTAAACCGGCCATCCTGAGACCCATCACGGATTGCAGAAACCCAAGTTTTTTTTATTTGCTAAGCTGCTTTCTGAAAAAAGAGAAATAGATTCTGTAATTTTAGATGCAATATTTACACGGCCTATGTCACAACAAACTTTAATTTGTACTTTTTGAAAACGATATGTGATGCTGCTTGAATGGGGAACGTCTTTCTCTCACACACGAATGGTATCTTATCTTCTTCCGATCCATTACAACAGGGCTGTCAAACTCGATTTCATTAAGGGCTACATCAGGGTTGTGTTTTACCTTGGAGGTACCAGGTGTGTTGTGGCCAGCTCGATGTCACTCCTGTCAGGGGGGCCTGGGTTGGCCCAAGCACTCTGCCAGCGAAAACGGGCTCCTGCATTTTCGGCTGCCACGATCTCCTGCAGCCGCCAGTGAAAATGGAGCTTGGGAGGGCTGTGTGCCTGTCCCACACAGAAAGGTGCAAGATATTGAAGGATTGGAGAGAATGTAAAACAGCAAAAAAGCTAAGCTAAGAGCGCAAATCATGCAGCTCATGGGTTGAAGGAGGCCCCCACTCCAGCATCTCTTGTATCCTTCAAAATAATTGCCATCAAAAATAATATAATGTATTTTTGAGTCCCAGAGGTTTAAGGAGTGATAAAGTTCAGGTGCCCATTTTAGCTCTTAAAACTCCTGACACAGCTCCTCAAAATAATGGGCCTCAGCCATCATCCACTTTTGAAGTGCAGTCTTAGATATCACAGAAAAGTGGATTGACCTAGAAAGTGATGGAAATTGCAGCCTCTTTTTAACAGGTGTATACGCTGCTTTGTTTTGACTTAACTCCGTTTATTGTACTTTGAAGAGCATGCCTCGCAGCTTAGCTTTACATATGAATTCAACCAGTTGTGGGCAGTCAACAAACCAAGATTTATTAAGTCCTGTCTTGGCTTGTTGGGTAGATCCAGTCAATTAGCCCCATGACAGTGTGTGTTTCTTCCATTCTGCACCTGTTTCTGAATCACCAATTGCCTGGTTCAAACATTGATTTCACAATAAGTCCAGTGGCCCTTGTAAACTGTTGAAGGTTTCAAAAATTCACACCTGTCCCAAATAACAGAATAAATTGGAAAACAGTTTTGTTTTAGGCTTGAAAATATGGAGATCAAAACCATTTTTTCCCAATATATCATTTAGCCTAGTGAAAAAAGGGATGTCTGAAGCTCAGAGCTGAAGAAACTTGGATGAGAAGTGAAACGTCTTCAAAGAAAAAGGAAGTCCAGTTGCCTCTTGAAAGAAAGCCCCTTTGGGACCTGATTGACATCGAATTTCCGTAGACATTTTAAAAAAGGAATTGCTTCCCCCGTAATGAGGAGCTCTGACAATGACCAGATCTGATCATTTAAAGATCCCTGCAGCCTTGAATGAGAAAATGATTTGAAATGCTGCTGCCAATCTGGCATCCTAGATCTGTCATTAGAGATGATAAGAGTGCATTAGAGCAAAAGGAGGCCAGCTGTGCAATCAAAGTGTACTTTTTAACCAAAAGCAATGTCGGGTTTAACAACTAACTAGAGTTAGTCGTCCAACGTCCTACCACAACGGGGACAAGAATTTCCATTGCTAAACAAAGGGTTGTTAAGTCCTGTCCAGTTTTATGAGCCTGTTAAGCAGCTCTGGCTTTTCCCACTAACTTTGCTTGTTTGAAGCTGGCTGGGAAAGTCACGTGGCCCTGTAAATACATGCCAATTACCAGGTGCCTGAATTTTGATCCTGTGAGAGTCAGACATGATATTCTTCCGATTAAAATCGGAATTCCGATTTTTTTGGAAATCGCCCACCCCCCTTCTTCTCCTCCCCTCGGAGGCCCCCTGAGTCAGGAGTTGCTACCGCTGGCGCGGCTCCAGTCCCGCGTTGCCTCGGGAAGGGAAAGGCAAAAAGGAAGAGCCGCGGCGGCGCTTTGCAACAGCAGCAGCGGCACCGGAGGCTCAGGCGCAGCAGCTCCCGGTTTTGCCTTTCCCTTCCCAAGGCAACACGGGAGTGGAGTCACGCGGAGCCGCGCCGGCGGTAGCAACTCCTGACAGCCCCAGCCGGACACCTGAGCGGAGCCTGGGTGGTGCGAGTGGAGGCCGCTGAGCGGCAGGAAAAGGGAGCTGGGCAGCCACAGACCATCCGTCTCTCCGTGCAACATGCCACCGCCCGGCCCTGGCGAGGGAAAGCAGTGGGCGCTCCCCGGGCGGCGGCCTCGGCCCCGCCCCCAGGGAAGCGGCTGCCCAGCTCTGGAGCTGATCCACACGTGACCGGCTGGAAAGGAAGGATGTGTAGCGTTGGTGTTGTGTGTGCGATTTCTTGGCTCGCGGCGCGGGGTCTCTTTTGGCCGGCCCCGATTTTTTTTTCAGAGGGGAATATCATGCCTGGAGAGTGGGGATGCTGCGGTGGTCGTAAGTACAAGGAACATTCATATATCATATTTTTCAGTGCCATTGTAATTTTCACCGATCCCTAAACAAATGGTTGTAAGTTGAGGATTATCTATACCAGGGGTCTCCAACCTTGGCAACTTTAAGACAGTCTTAAAGTTGCCAAGGTTGAAGGCTCCTCTCTATAGTACCTGAACCTCCTTCAGAGACAGAAATCTCCTTTCACAACATGCAGAATTTTTTTATATTAATCCTTCCTTGTGTTCTGAATAGTGTTTCACTCATTTCATGTCCCTCAGGTAAATTTGAAGACAAGGAAGACAGTGTGCCTAAGCTTGAACAGCTGAACAGCTTGGGGTGTATGACCAACATGAGCCTGGTCCTAACCAAGCAGAATTTGCTGCACATGGAGCTGCTCTTGTTAGAGACTTTCCAGTGGAACCTCTGCCTGCCCACAGCTGCTCACTTCATAGACTACTATCTCTCGATCTCCGTTCACGAGTCAGACCTCCATGATGGATGGCCGATGGTTTGCTTGGAAAAGACCAAACTCTACATGGCCAAATATGCCGACTACTTTCTGGAAGTATCCCTGCAAGGTGCATTTTTTAATGGCTTTGTTCAAACTCCCCATGGTTACTTAGCTGCTAGAGGAGTGAGTGGGGGGGGGGGGATGCCTGTGTGTGACTTAACCATAATCCTCTGTCTCTCCAGATCATGCCTTTTTAAATTATGCCCCTTCGTTCGTGGCCGCTGCTTGCGTGGCTTCTTCAAGGATTATCTTGCGTCTTTCTCCAACATGGCCGCCGCGACTCCATCGCCTGACAGCATATTCCTGGGACTTTCTGTTGCCGTGTATTGAACGACTATTGGTGTAAGTGTTTCCTCACTTAATAGGGTAGTATAGTCAGTCCTCGGTTTACAATGGGGAAGCTACGGTTAATGACCATTAATGAGCTGTGGTGGCGCAGTACTGCAGGTTCCTTCTGCTGCCTGCCGGCTGCCTGCAGTTCAGCAGTTTGAGTCTCACCGGCTCAAGGTTAACTCAGCCTTCCATCCTTCCGAGGTTGGTAAAATGAAGACCCAGATTGTTGGGGGCAATAGGCTGACGCTTGAAAATGGCTGTAAAGCACTTTGAAGCAACATATAAGTCTAAGTACTATTGCCTTCAGAAGTTATGGGAGCTTCATCTCTGGAAGCTGTCAAGAAGAGATTGGATTGCCATTTGTCAGAAATGGTGTAGGGTCTCCTGCTTGAGTGAGAGGTTGGACTAGATGACTTCCAAAGTCCCTTCCAACACTTTAATCTGTTAATCTGCTGTTGCTATTCAAAGTTAAAACGGCACTGAAAGTGACTTGCACCCGTTTTTCCCACTTACAACCGTTGCAGCATCCCCATGGTCACATGATCTAAATTAGGATGCTTGGCAACTGGAATGTAGTTATGGCAATTGAAGTGTCCTGAGATCGTGTGATTCCCTTTTTGTGACCTCCCGACCAACAAAGTTCAGCGGGAACGCTAGATTCACTTAACCTGTGGTAAGGAAAACGTAAATTGGGGCATCATTGTCTGGCTTAGCAATGGAAATTTGGGGCTCAATTGTCATCGTAAGTTGAGGACTATCTGTTAAATATCTGTAGAAATTGCTATTAAGTTTCCAAGTTGGAAAGCTGAGTGTGATGACAAGCTCTTGATGCTGTTGCATTTCAGTCTTGAATACATTCTTCATGCCTACATCTACCCGTTAAGACACATTTCTCTAACTGCCCCTCTCATCCAGGGATTTCTGCAGATGTGCAAAGGGAGGCCGAGAGAGCAGGCCCAACTGGACAATTGCCCATAAAAAATGGGCAGAGCTACAATCAGAGTGTTGGGTCTGCCATTTTGGCTTTAAACAACAACAACAACATACCCTTAAAGACACTACTGCTTTAGTCCCAAATGAAATCAAATGCTTGCATAATGTGATATTCACCCATAAGAAAGTTATTGTCAGTATTCCAAGTAATGCACCCATAGAAAGCAGAACTCCAAGGCAGGTAGATTCCTCAAGGAGCGATTTATTGGATACTTGATATTGGTACAACTGGTAAAAACTGACTCTGAAGATCCCCGCGTTTTTCACCTCATTACAAATTAAAAGGTCCCCCTTCCCCCCAGGTCATCAGTCACATTGTCCAATCGAGGTGCTAGGCGGTTGCTTGGTTACTTCACTCCTCTCCCCAGCCACCTGTTGGAATGTCCTTGGTTCCCATAGGAACACTTTTTGTTTTGACTACAAACTCCTAGCTAGCTATTTCCCTCTCCCTCTCCCTTCTTCCTTGTAACCCTGAAGCCTCAAAGATGGCCTCAACCAGGTTCGCTTCAGGGTTGACTATTTTAACATATCACAATTATCTGTGATGAACGTCCTCTTACGTATGGAGGTGAAAATAAAGATGCTGTTGAAAACAAAAGAGTGGGCAGGAGGTTCAGATGCCAGCCTGAGCTGATAACTGCCAAGTATGGAAGCCTTTGAAGGTCAGCCCTTACTTAGGAATAACTGTTCACCCAATAGATTTAACTGATTTGTAGGATCTAAGCAGACCTTCCTTCTTTTTCATTTGGGGTTGTGTTATTTCTTGTTTCAGTGTTTCCCAACCATACCCATTTAAAGATGTATGAAGTTCAATTCCCACAATACTCCAGCAAATAGTGGTGTACATGTTTTTCCTAGATGAATAGGGTAGGGTAGGGTAGGGTAGAGTAGAGTAGAGTAGAGTTGAGTAGAGTAGAGTAGAGTAGAGTAGAGTAGAGTAGAGTAGAGTAGAGTAGAACAGCATAGTACAGCACAACACAGAGTAGAATCTTGGATGTCTTCTAGTCCAACCCCCTGCCCAAGCAGGAGACCCTATACCCATGATAGCAAACCTATGGCACGCATGCCACAGGTGACACACAGAGCCATTTGTGCCGGCACGTGAGCTGCAGGCAGACCTACCTCGCTGCGCATGTGTGCGCCTCACAGCTGATTTTCAGCCTGTTTGAGGCCTTTTTTGGCCCCCCAAAGGCTTGAGGAAGACTTCTGCAGGCTTCTACAAGCTTTGTAGGCCGAAATCTAGCCCCGTTTTGTCACTTCCGGTTTTCTCAGAAAAACAGAAAGTGACGAAACGGGGCTAGATTTTGGCCTACAAAGCTTGTAGAAGTCTGAAGAAGCCTTCCTCAAGCCTTTGGGAGGTCGAAAAAGGCCTCAAATTGGCCGAAAATCAGCTGTGAGGCGCAGTGCAGGTAAGGGGGCTGCTGGGGGTGGGGTGGGATTGTGTGTGCATGTGTAGGGGGCGAGGGGCGCGCGCATTGCCTTCTGGGTGCTGACACGTGAGCACAAGCGTGCAAGCATGCACACAATTTTTGGCACAGGAGCCCAAAGAGGTTAGCCACCACTGCCCTATACCATTTCAGAGAAATGGTTGTCCAGCTTCTTAAAAGCCTCCAGTGATGGAGTACCCACAATTTCTGAAGGCGAGCTGCTCCACTGATTAATTGTTTTCACTATTAGGAAGTTTCTCCTTAATTCCAGGTTGCTTCTCTCCTAATTAGTTTCCATCCATTGTTTCTTGTCTTGCCTTCTGGTGCTTTAGAGAATAAGTTGACCTTCTCTTTTTGTGGCAGCTGCTCGAATACTGGAATATTGCTGTCATGTCACCCCACTCCTTCTTTTCTCTAGACCAGCCATACCCAAATCCTGCAACCATTCTTCATATGTTTTAGTTTCCAGGCCTTTAATCATTTTAGTTGCTATTCTCTGCACTTTTTCCAAAGTCTCAACATCTTTTTTTGTAATGTGACCAAAACTGGATGCGGCATTCTAGGCGTGGTCTTACTAAGGTTTTATAAAGGTTTTATTTATTTGGATGGATGGATGGATGGATGGATGGATGGATGGATGGGGTTTTATTTCTTCTAGCAGAAATGCTTACATTGAATCAAGAAAAACTATTGGCCCATTCCCATCAAGCATGAATGAAAAAATAATCATCTCCTTGTACATGGGTTTGGATGAACTGTAGATTTCATCCAATGTAGTTAAACAGAAAATAATCCTTTTAATTTTAATATTCTAGGGCCCATGATAATGATGTAAAAGAAGCCAACAAGCAAAAAGGACAACATAGTTCTCAATCACCCCATAACACTTTATTTCAAACCATCAGTCAACCCACACAGCAGCACATACCCCATTATATTCAAGCACATCAGACTCCTCTACCATATCTTCAAACAGCACCGCAACAAAACTGTCAGCCGATTATGTCAAGCAGTCATACCTCAACCTACCCAATGCAGACTTGCCCAGCTGGTTTACAAGGTGGTGTTCAGGCTCAAAGTCATATGCAGACTTCTGGAATGTCACTAGCTGTCCCTATAGAGGTGAAGCCATGTTTAAATGTCTCCTACAATCGAACCTATCAGATTGCTGGGCGTTACCCTTGTATTACTCCATGCTTTGAGAGGTGATGACTACAGCAGAACTCTCTGTGTGACCAGTGTTAAATCAATAATAAGAGGACAATTTGGGGTCCTTCTAAAACCTGGGAAATGGCTGAAAGAGGACAACGTATTTTTCCTCCCAAAGGTAGCTCAGTTGCAGAAGCTTGCAAGTACAAGAACGTGCCTACTTGCAGAATAATGGGAAAAGATGGGAGAAATATTTCTGCCACGCTGTAGTTCTACAGGCTGAACTTAAAACATACCTTTGAAAGCGTGTTGAGAGACATCTGTCCTGTCTGCAGGTTTTGTCTTCCTGAAAAGATGAAAGATTATGCGTGATGTTGACGACACTGCTGCTTCTACTTAGCTCTGTGCAGTATTGAGTAAGATACTGAACCGTGAAAGTCCACTAAGTGCCATTGCTTTCCAGAAGATGGAGAGGCCAGTGAGAGAAGAGAGAAGAGGCCCTTTTTATCTAATCAGTAGCTCAATTCTTTGACATGCCCGTGGATGAGAACTTGTATTTCAGTGGCCTTGGATTAATGTTCTTCAATCTTCTGCTTCAAGTATTCTTGTCTTCACTGAAGCTATGTAGAGATAAATTATCATGTCAACTCAGGGAATAATCAAAAGTTACTGTGATGCAGGATATATATCATTTAAATGGTTACCTCGGGTTCTGTTCCTCAGGGTAATTGTATTAGTAAAATACCAAAGGGAGTTGAGATGCTTATCTAAGTACTCCCTTCACCTAAATGTGCTTTGCAATAAGGCAGGGAAAAATAGGTAGGTTGTATTTAAATGAAGCCAGTACTATAACCATAAAAAAATGGAGTTTTGTTTGCAATTTACTCTACTTTATGCCACCAATTATTTGTGTCCAAAAAGTTTTTGGTTTTTTTTTTTTTTTATTGTATTGATTTCTGGCTTCAAGGTACAATTGAAATGCTTACAAGAAATAAAGCCTTATTTATATTGGCCAGAGAGCAGAATGAGAAATGGAAGTTCTCAGACTCTTACAGCACAACTGTATTTCCATAGTTCTATTTCTTTGGCCACATCAGCTGCAATTCAGGTATTTTTATAATGTGAGCTAAGTCATAATAAGGGTGCTACATATGATCATCAGAAGTGTCTTTAAGTCCTTAGAGTCTGTCCTTACCCGAACCAGAATTATTTGAATTAATAGGCAGTAAACAAATTTTGAGAACCTTCTATCTAGCATGTAAGATTAAGGAGTGACTAATTTGATATATTTGTTGCCAGTGGTGTGCGATCTAGGTATTTAGAGATGACTTGAGAATGGAGGTGATAAATGGAAGGAGAACTTGAAGATAGATAGACCTTCCCTAGTGAAAAAGATCATCCTAAATAGTTCTCATTTAAAGGAAAAATGGCCTTAAAGTGGCTCTCTCTGTGAGCTGACAGTGCTATGAGAAATTATTCTTTAATTTGGAGGAGAAGCTATCCTCTGTATTAGTAATTATTTTATGCCATAATATGTTTTGTGTGTCTCCTTATAAAAATGGGGAATTTTGAGGGGAAGAAGTAAAGCTTTCTGAAGACATTTTATATACTGGGGAATGCCACTTCTTTCCTTAGGATATTTTTTTATTACTGTGTTTGCATGTCTGAGCGGGGAAAAATTGATTAGGTAACAGAATTGAGTGTCTGAGGTATCTTCTTACATGATGTCATTTCTCATTTCACTTTATGTGGGGATGAAGGACTGCAAAATACATCCGAAAAGGAATGATACTTATCTCAAATTGCAATACTGCGCGTACAGCTCTCCATACTTTTAACTACCTCAATACTATGTTGAATGTACAATTTTGTGGAGATTCATGACTTGAAAAACAGCTCATTGTTCCTGAAATTCTTACGTGTCCTTCAGTGTCAGTCCTCCATAAATGAGACAGCAGAGTAGACATCCAATACATCTAAAAATTGTCTTGCAGGCCTTTACACTCAAAACATTAGTTAATAATTAACACTGGAATTGTGGGAAAGAGTTAATTTGTCTAGTCAAACCAGCAAAACTCACCTAAGACAAATGATCTTATTTAAGATATTTAAGTAATTAGACTTCTTACTAAAAATGGATCCACTACAAGTTCATAGATTTGTGGCTTACTACTTTTTTAATTTATTATTTAGCCTTTTGAGTTTGTTGTTATAGATTAATATTGGCAATAGAATATGCACTGTGCAACATTTCCTATTTTCTTATACGTATTTGGTCAACCTCAACTGAACTGACACACTGCTGTAATTGCTACTGCAGGAATTAAAATGTGTGTCATCAAAAAAAAAGCCTACATATTGAAAGAAAAAAAATGAGTGCCATGCACTCTTTTAAAAAATAAAGTTAGTTTTGCGTAACTTGTGTGTGTGCTTTGAATAATACATTCCAAGTTTATTTTTGAGTGTAATACAACAGATATGAAAGAAAACAGGAAAAGTATTTTTAATTTTTATTAAAAATCTGAACTCTTGTACTTCATTACTAACCTTGTCTGGAAAAGACAACAGAAAGACAGAATGGAAAATAATTACAACTGTGAACAATACTGAATCCATATATACATTCTGTTAGAATATGGAAAAAATTATTATTTTAATTATATCAGGCAATACTATTTGCACAATTACATGCAAGAAGTCACAGAAAACCCATCCCTCTTTTTGAGCAAAGTCCATATTGCGTTGTGCACAGATAACATTACACGACAGAAAACAGTATGATGCCTTGTCTTCAAAAATCAGTTCCCTGGTTGGTGCATTCTACCTTAGAATTTAATTTAATTCTAAATCAAATCTGCTATAGATAAATGCAAGCACAGAATAGTACATATCTGAAAAGGAATCAGTCACGTATGAAAATTATGTGCATCTTTGCTCCAGCAATGTTCAAGGCACCACTTTCAAAGGATTTGCATTAGCTCTAAGAAGTATGTTCAGTAATGTTCACTTGGGATTAAAAACCTAGAAACAAGGATGATATTTTAACCACCAACTGGTGGCCAATCAAACTTTACAATTGATGCACCCTACTTGGCGGCCTCCATTTAGGTATACTGATTTATAAACTACATAAATCATGTTTTAACGACCCCATAATCCCTTTCGGGGTGGAATCTGGACTTCTGAATGGAGCTAGCAGAGTGTTTAATGGCCGGATGCCCCTCCTGTTGCCAATGTGGAGGTTTTTTTTAGCAGATATATTCTCATTGTGCCCAGAGAGAAATATCTGCCTCTACCTAGGATCAAAATCAGACTCCTGATTTTGTGAGGTGACAGCTCCACCTCTAGGGCACCACACCACTGTTTAAAAACTACACAAATGGTATTTTTAAAATATCTAAATTGGGCAGGGGAATTGACTGGAAGACCTCCAAGGTATCTTCTAGCCCTATATTAAATGTTCCACTTATGTGAACTGAACTTCTTGGTTCTACATGTTACTAGATGGCCATACCTGAGTTTGTTACACTTTTTTTATGAATTACAATTGATTATAGTAATCACAATTCTGCTTCTTAGCAGTGCCAAGATGCTCTTCGCACACACAAAAAAGGGGGCACTTTTTCTGCAGTGGCCCAGGCACATGTGCAATATTAGATCTATCAGAAAAATAAATTCCTGACACATTAACACTAAGAAATAAATCATGCTTTGAATGGGCGGTCCAAGCAGTATCATGAAGCATTCTTGAAATTCTTAAGAAACCATAATCAAAATATTGTTGGTTGATGCAAAAATTACAGGTGACTTTGCCAATTTTATATCATTTATAAACTTTTTGGGAAGGGTTCAAAAATATAGGTAATTGAACCGTCTTGAAAGTGATTGTTAGCTGCTTTTTTCTATAATGAAAAATGGTCAGTGAACAATGATCAGTTGACTGATTTTTATATTTTAAAATTCCTTGGCATTAAATATAATTCTGCAGTATTATGAAAACAAATGCAGACTTCTAAACAGAAATAGCTTTCTTATTTCTAAACCACCTATCTCAAGCAAGTGGCTCTTGCCTGTGTCATTCATGGTATTATCTAATTTGGATACATTGTGTGTAAATTCTTCTAGTTTGGATATATTGTGTGTAAATTCTAAGCTTTCACTTCCTTAGAGCTACACAGCGGAAGTGTTCAAAAACTTTGTTTCCATTTTTAGTTGAAAGGATGTAACATTATATCTTGGGTCTTAACTGTAATAATGTAATTTGGGAAAATGAACCAAATTACATTATAAAACTAAGCTTAGATTATCCATAGTTTGCCCATGGTGTGAGTGTATACAATAAATTGACTTTAAATTTAAACATAAGCTGTCCAGATCCATTTCAGTATGAAATGGGCAGCAAATAAATTTAATAAATATATTAAAAATAAATAAGGAAAAGGAATGTTCATGAACTTAGTGATCATTTATAATTTATTAAACATGAAACCCGCTTAGCACTGCATTTGAATAAGACAATGGGTGCTGAAATTACTGTTAGATTAAGTACACTACAGTACCAGGGAAAATATTTAATGAAAATACAGCCAGATACCAAACTCCTTCCATTTGCACTCTGATCTCCACTAATATAATAAGAACACCTTGACATACAACTATCAATTGTCTGTGTTATGCATACTTCATGAATCTCTGCATGTGATACCCCTTTTATATGATGTATCTATTTTAATAGTATAAAGCTTAAGCTGAAAAACCTGTTATTGAACATTTTACAGAGCCATACTGTGTTCCCAGAGCCAATGTAGTGTGCCTCTGTAATCAAACTTTATGACTTACTGTGTCATCAAACCTAAAATCACATTCCTGAAACTGGGACTTGTAAAGAAATGTTGTCATTGATTAAAAATGTTTGGCTTTTCAGAAATCTAAAATTGCTATTTTGCATCCAGATGGCATAGTAAGCCTTAAATGGTGATTAAAGAACCACACACAAAAAAGCGAATGTCAAATTTGGGACATTCCTGATGTATCCTTTAACCATTATTTTGTACAGCTTATTATAAGAAAGCAATATGTATATGAAAAATATTTACAAAATTAAATATGAAGGTACAAAAGATTTTCTTTTATTCTTACAAAGATAAACCTTAGGTTACATCATATTTCCATAGCCAAGATCCTGATGATCCTAACTCTAATGACCTTTCATAAGATATTTAAAAATGGCTTTTATTCCAAGCAATGGCCCCTATAGGTAGCTGAGTGCATATACAGATTATTTATGTATGGTAGATATGTGTGACGCCACAGATGTGGTGGTTTTCAGTTTTTATCGTTTTATAGTTTGTGTGTTATTGTTTTTGATTTGATCTTTGTTGCCCAGAATTGTGTAACAAGCCAGTTTAAATCAATGAATGAAAGATTGTGAAGGCATTTGTACTGTCCTATAGGATCCAGAAGTTAAGCAGAGTTGAGTCCAGTCAATAGTTGGGTGACTGGCCATGAGGAAATTCAGGGCTATAGAACAAGAAGTAAAAATTATCCTAGAATACAGTAATGGTAAAATTTTTGTAGACTGTTCCCCAAATCACTACATCGATGTTTTACAAAAAGAATTTACAAAAAGACACAGAAAAGTTTTAGATGTTTAAACTCCAAATAAATTTTATTAGATTTGTCTTTATTCACAGAAACAACATTAAAATAAATCTAATACTTTAAATGAAAGAATCAAACAGCAAATAGTATTTTTTTAAAAAAAACAACAATGTTTTTTGACTAGTTTCTTGTCTACAACAACAATTCAGAAACCACAAATACCAATTTCACAGATGCACTGCGTAATTTCTAAAGAGGTTTGTCAGTTACTGCTACTTACTGATGACAAACCAAAGATACTAAGTAGATCCAAACAGATAAAATCTTATTTGGATAAGGATGAATATATACAGCAAGAGCAAATTCTGTATAGGGAATTTCTGAAGAATGAATTCCTGTCTGATAAACTGCCTCAGTTATTGACGGGATATCTAGGTATGGCATCTGTAAAGGAAATCCTGTAACCTACCAAAAAAAGTTTAAATACATGTTTAAAACAAACATATATTACACATCTGCATGAAACAGTACTTTAAATCCAAATAGTACAAACCAAGATGACATATAAAACAATTGTTCTAGATATAATTTTTAAATTAAAGATTGCCATTTTCAATATTTAAAAAATATTTATTTAAAAATAGTTTAAAAATAATCTTGTTGCAATAAAGTATTTGAGACATAGCCAAGCTACTAAACATAGCCAAACATTTGCTTCAGATTCAAAATAATAGCTAATATAGGAGACGCAAATTTGGACACTTTTTCAGTATTCTAATACAGCTTTTGCAGTATTTTGTAAATGTTTCTTATAACCTTTCAAGCCCCTTTCACTTTCTACTTTTTCCAGGGTGTAGATCGATCACATGGGCTGTGTGAAGGATCAGGTGAAGGAAGGAAGGAAGCTCTAATCTTAGAGATCAGCTACTTTGTAGGGTCAGAGACCTGGAGCTTTTGAGAAAGTCCCCTTCCCCGCTGCTTGAAATGCCTGGCAGCTGTTAAAAAGCTCAAACAACACTGGATGAATGCAGGGTAAAGAGCAAACAAGAGGGCTCACTGAACCCTCTGTACCACACCTGTCACCAGCTATTTGGGATCCTTTTTAACTCCATATTTGAAAGAAATCAAAGAACTGGTGAAAGCATCTTGTCTCTTTGTGATGAGGCCTGCTAAAATCAGAACCCTCCAATAAGGCTTGAAAGTAAGTTGTAGAAGCTGGGAACCTTATCTATCCTGGACAGCAGAGGGTTATAAGAATGAGATCTGACAAGTCTTAATGAACTTTGTCTATAACTCATGTAAGAATTGGAAAGGGATGAAAGATATAGCAGATTGGTCCAAAAATTACAGCAAAGTGTAAAGTCATCAAAGTCCTAGAGCCTGAGAACAGGACATTATTCACTGTCTTTCTTCAGTACCATGAGTGTTTAACTTGTATATCTTATTTAAAATCTATTAATTTCTCTGTCGTTCAAATGTTTGTAAAAGAACAGTATATAAAAAAAGAATATTATCACACACAAAAGATTGTTTGACGGGTTAACATAATCAAGTGCAACCCCAACTGGAAATAAATCAGGAGTAAGTAGACCATTTGGCTTTGCAGAAGGAGCAAGTCAATTGTTTTTCTGCTAGTTTCAGAATATCTTTTAATTCCTGATTCCCAAGGCAGGTATCAGTCAATGAAATAGATGATGATAAGATAGGATGAAGAATGTTTCCTGGGACAAGAGTTGGAAACCCAAACAATGGCCAAGAACCAGAGTTGTCTGCATCATGGGATGATTAGAATGCATGAAAAAATATTGAGGGCAAGTATGTGGAATCATCAGGTGAGCAGAAAATTACTGAGAAGCAAGTGATCCAGGGTAGAAGAAATAGATCCTCTTAAGGATTCCCAAATTCAGCTTAATTTGCAACATTTACGGTTTTTTGTATCAAATAGGTTGATAGTGTTATTCCATTCTGTGAAGATTATGAGCAACTTTGGAGTTTACATTCATGACTGAATTGCTGAGAGCAATTACCTCCCCTGTGTATGATAAACAGATGCTCAGGCATTTAGAGATGGTGGATGCATGCACTAATTCTAGAACTAGATAATAAGATGTGTGGAATTTGCTATCATTTGATCAATATACTGTATTAAAAAAAATACTCAGAAGCTACTTGCAAATATCTGTGGAGATTTTCAGTCATCCAGGTCATTGTTGTCTCAGAGGAGCTGTTTCAAAGGCAACTGGACCATTTTTCCTTGAGGAAGGAAAAGAAAACATTTCGCTTCTCATCTAAGAAATGTCATCAGTTCTGATGCCCTCCCATCAGAACTGATTAAGCTTCTTGGATGAGAAGTGAAACATTTTCTTCTTCCTCAAGGAAAAAACAGTCCAGTTACCTTTTGAAAAAGCAGCTTTGAGATAACTATCTGCAAATAGTATTTTGTGCTGAACAGAGTAATTGAGGGAACGCACAATTTTTAACATTGCAGAATAGATGGATAGGCATAGGTAAAGACTAAATGCATCCATGCTGAAATGACTGGTCTAAACAGCTCTCTACTATAGTCAAAGAAGCACTGATGGTGAATACAAAAGTATGGGGAATAAGGAATAAGGAAAATCCTTTAATTAAAATCCCTAACACGAATGCCTTAAAGTGCAGTATTGGCCTCAACCCTTTGTCTTCTCAAAGGAAATATTCAGAATTCATGTGGAACAGACTTGGTTTGGTTACATGCTTCTTCAGAAGTTTGGAGACTTCAGAATGCAGAGTAGATAAGGCTAGAGAGTGTGGCAAAGAAGATACAGTGAAGAGCATTGAATTATTGCATGAACAATCTGACATTAGTGTGTTGGAACCAACACTAATGAAACAAACGAACGCATTGCTATTAGAACTAAATAATAGCATTTATTGTACCAGCTCACACTCTGAAACTGCAGATGAATCTGAAATTCTTGGTATCATGACAAAGACTGTTTACTGTCAGAGCAGATATATGAAAGTAAAACGTTTAATGTAGTTGAGCATAATGGAAAAAATGGTATAAGCTATGATACTGATCATATAATGTTATTTCACAGTGTAATACTACTTTGCAAGGAAAAATAAAATTTTATATCCATGGAGCAAGCAGACCTCTGAGACTAATCATCAAAGCACCTGTCTGCCCTAATAGGGTAGTTAGATGCAATAGGAGGCTGGCAACTATATCAATCTCCTAACAAGGCAGTTGGATGACTCCTAAGGAGAACAGGGCTGAGAAAAGATTGGAGAAGTGACTGGCTAATTGTTCTATAACCTCACTATCTCAGAAACATAATTGTGTTAACTTTTGTTTGTATAGTATAACTAGTCAGCTGAAAGAAGTATCAGATAGAATGAAAAGTGATCCTACTTCCTATGGAGTAAGTTATTAATGCAAAATTATATTGTTCCCTCTTTTAGGGAAACATCTTCCGTTATTTAAAAACTGTGGAAAGTAACAGTTGTTTCCAAGCAGCTGAATTTGAGACAACTGGCATAACCTGAAATAATATTAAATAACTAAGACATAGTTGAAAAGAAAGCAGCTTCTTACAAAACTGTACAGAGTGGAACAAATTATGTATTTATGACTCTTTTATCAAACACTAGCAGCATAGGCAAGTTTCCACCTAAGTGGAAGCCATTAATGAAACCATTAGATGAGAGTAATTTTATGCCACATTTTTTTCTAAAAGAGTTGATATCATACCCAGAGCAAATCCTCCAGGGACAAAGAAAATAGTATGGGGAGTTGATGATAGAAGAAAAGAACACATAGTGACAATCATCTACATTAGGTTACTCTTTTAATGGCCTGAAAGGGAGATGAATTTGAAAATTGTGTAGGATTAAACCAGCATATTTATTCTACATCTATAAGTCCATGCTTTCTGCTACTACTATTCATACAGGGATAGATAGAGAATATTGTCAAACACAGGAACCATACTTTTGTATTAAGTTGTGCCATGTCTTGTAATGATTAACCAGTGTTCATATTGCTACTTTTTTGGGCAACAAAAAGCTCTAAGGAATAGTCTGAAGTTTATCCTTGGCTTTCTCAATAAAAAAGGGTTATGATGGCACCTACCCAAGGACTTTGTATGGATAATTATAATTTTTATGGGTCTGTCTTATCCTTGTCTTACTGTTCTGGTTTATCTTATACAGCAATTTGGTATCTGGCTTTACCTCCTACATCTTCTGTTTCTTTGGCCTCATTCCCCCAACTCAGGATCTCTGAGCTCAGTTAGTAATCAATTTTTGTTAATGACTGACCACTAACAATCAGGATCCAAATTCTACTTGTTATGTGCAAGCAAAATATGCTTCCTTGTGTATAAAGCAAATATTTTTTTCCAAGGGTAGCCCTTCATATTTTGTGAAATGCTGTTTGGCAGATGCCCTCTCCCCAAATGTTCAGTAACAGTAACAAAACTAACCCAGTAATGCTCTTGAAAAGCTTCCAAATAACTTTCTTCTTTTTCTTTGGTTATATGTCCACTTCTAAGCTCAAGCTTAGGAAGAATTTGTCTTAAAACACTAGTACACTGTCGATGCCATCGAGTTGGAAGATGAGATCGCCACTCCATTATTTTATTTTTTAATGTTCTTTCAATTCTGTTTTTTTTAAAAAAAAGACGATGTTTATTATTATTATAGTTACTATACTGTTAATTTATCCACTTGATAAAAAAACCGAAGTACTGTTTTGTGTGAAGAGTTTTTATGATCATGAAACTTTTAAACTATTCTGTTTCCATTTCTTGATGTAATGATGTTTTGACCACAGTATACAACTTGGGAAGGGTGTTAATTTTGTTAAGAAAAATTACAAAGCTAAAACAGCTACAGAACAAACTGGGACAGTGAAACACACTGAATGGGGAAAAGTACTGAAAAGGAAATATTGCTAATACTGTATACTTTGTTTCTAAAATAGCATTGTTGCTACTGCAATGAATAAAGAAAAAAGGATAGAAATTAAAAAAAAATTTCTAATCAACAGATAGAAAGCAGAAAGAAATCAGTACTGGAAGATGGTAAGCAACTATAATGCACTAAAATGCGCATGTGCAATAGTTCTGTTTGAGGAGACATAGCCTTCACGATTTCAGAGAAGTAGATTTAATGTTATGGAAAGTGCCTTTAAAGACTGGTTATTATTTTTAAGTGCCTTCACTTTTTTGTTAACCATCTTGTTCATGAAGCTTGAGGAATGTTAGGGATGAAAAGTGCAATCTAAGAAAGTATGGATTCCTTTTGGAATTTGCAATAGGAAGAAAATCACCTTACTTTTTAAGAAACTTTTATAGCAGCATGATGACTTTTCCATCTTCCCCTAGTTTTGTGGCAAGCATAAGTGTTCCCACACGATAAACAGATCTAGAAAACCTACAGGAATGTCCAACCTTGGCAACTTTAAGACTTATGCACTTTGATTCCCAGAATTCCTTAGCCAGAAATGCTGGCTGGAGAATTCTGGGAGTTGAAGTCCCCAGGTCTTAAAGTTGCTAAGGTTAGACACACCTGAACAGAATTGGCAAATGGATTGAAAACATGAGAGTCAGAGTATAATGGATTTTAAAATGTCTGTCTGTCTGTCTGTCTGTCTTATCTATCTATCTATCTATCTATCTATCTATCTATCTATCTATCAATGTATTGGCTGCCCAACTCTAGTGGACTCAACCTATCCAAAGTCACAAAAAGATTCTCCACTTTAGCAACAGGAAAGACATTTGCAAAAAAAGTCCATTGATAGATGTGATGTTAGAGCCAAAACAAATGAACAGGTGCACGTATTTCTTATATAACTATGGAGAAGGTTAGGGTTAAGGTTAGGTTAAAGTAAAGAAATAATTATATGAAAGACATTTTTAAAAAGTAGGGTGAAGCTGTTTACAAATTGTTTTTATATTTTTGTGTTACATCTTAATTATTATACATTTTTACATAAAATATATTGATTTTACACAATTTGATAATTTATGAGGTTATTCAATTAATTGAAGTATATAAATATTTTACCTCAGCTGAAAATGGCTTAAATAGTTATTTTAAAAGCACCATTGAGATAATGTCAGCTTTAAAATTTCAGGTAAACTTTTAGAGAGGAAATCAAGGAGATTATTAATGTATTAAATCAATTTATTGCCAACGAAGTTTTTAGATTTTTAAATTTTATTATTTTTAACGATTTTGGGATTGCCTAAAATTGCAAAATGGTTGTATATTCAATTAAAACATTTATTATTTTCATAATTTGGTGCATTAGCAGCATTAAAAAACTCCCAGATCATTATTATATTAGAGGCTGTTTTGGATGATTCTAAGATTATTTTTTTAATATAATGAAAGAGTGTCAGTACGGTTGACATTGTTTGCAAGAATAAATACATAATCTGACTTTACCTAAAGTATAATAAGCGGCGTCCAACCCTAGAAGCAATTGGTCCCAAAACATTTTTTAAAATGATCAAAATAATATGTAGTTTGGCACTGAGTCCCTCAACTTTATAAAATGTTATTAATTAAAGTAATTACCTATTTTGTAACTCATCTACCAAACTTCCATCCGTTGCAACATAAAATATTTGTTCTGGCTGAAACAAAAAATTGAATACAGCTCATCAGTCTGGAACCTACATTACATATCTGATATTAATACAATTGAGAAAGTCCAGAAATATTTTAGGAGAGGAATCCTCCACTCCTCTACTCGTAGCAGAATACCTTATGCCACCAGACTTGAAATTTTAGACCTAGACAACCTAGAACTCCGCCGCCTTCGATTCGATCTAAGTATAGTATATAAAATCATATATTGCAATGTCCTACCTGTCAATGAATACTTCAGCTTCAACCATAACAACACAAAAGCACACAATAGATACAAACTCAAGGTAAACCGCACCAAACTTGATTGCAGGAAATACAACTTCAGCAACAGAGCGGTCAATGTCTGGAATGCTCTACCTGACTCTGTGGTTTCTTCCCCAAACCCCAAAAACTTTAACCTTAGACTGTCTACTATTGACCTCACCCCTTTCCTAAGAGGTCTGTCGGGGGCGTGCATAAACGCACCAAAACGTGCCTACCGTCCCTGTCCTATTGTTTCTTTTTTTTCTTATTCATATCCATTTCATGTATTTATAACCATGTTTATACTTATACCTGTTGTCTAATAATTGTTTGACAAAATAAATAAATTAAAATAAATTAAAAAGCAATTGTACAACTATGGAACATTCAAATGCAAGCTAACGAGGATTTTGCAGATCTTCTAAGACATGTTTTGTCAATTCTGAAAAACGTATATTTGGAAGATGCTATTCTTACTTAGTATTTGGTAATATCACAGATGCATCCTTGTCCAATTACTTGAAACTTTCACGACTACTGCTTTATGCTGAACACTGCTAAATCTTCATATACCTTTTACCTTGATATCTCTTTACCTTGATATCCCGAGCTTGGCTTCCTTCCCAAGTCCCCCCAGCCCAAACCCAAAGGGGCCACCGGGAGAGGCTGCCCGAGGCAGTGATAGCACCCACCCATCCGCAGACAGGGAGGCGAGGCGATGCCAGTGCTGCTTCCCTGGCCGGTGGGTCCAGCGGAGAGAGCCCGAAGTCGACTGTACTTTCCACCCCTCGCCCAGCCCGTCCCCATCCCCACGCATCTCCAAATGCACTGGCATCTCCAAATATTGCAGCGGCATGGGCATCGGGCAGAGGCGCTCACTCGGCGGGGCTCAGCTCGGAGAACGCAGCGCAGGCCATCGCCTTGCCTCCCTGTCCACGGACAGGTGGGCGCTATCACTGCCTCAGGCAGCCTCTCCCAGTGGCCCCTTTGGGTTTGGGCTGGAGGGACTTGGGAAGGAAGCCTAGCTCGGGTCGGCCCAGCTCTTTCGCTTGGCAGGCGGGCGCGTATCCGTGGCTCGCTTTTCCGGGTCTGCCCAGCCCGCACGGCTCTGGCGCAGCCCTGGCGGGATGAGCAGAGGGCCTGGCGGGAAGGCATTCACTGCCTTGGCGAGAGCTCTGCCGCCGGGCAGGAGGGCCCACCTGTCAGCTGCGCTGGGCGACCCAGGCGAAGCTCTTCATGCTCTGCCCGGTGCCAGGCAGGGATGGCAGCTGGGCGCTTCTCCCGGGGTGGGCCGATCCTGTGCTGCGGCCCCGGGAGATTCACCTCCCCATGTGGGGTTGGGCTGCCGTCTCAGGCAGAGGAGGCTTTGTCATATTGGTAGTAGGGAGTCGTTTTTAAAAGAATTGGCTTTGCCTTCGAAGGTGAAGGGAAGGGGGCGACAGGAGCACCTGAAGCCGAGTGTCTCTGCCGGGCTCCGGTTGCAGGGAGGAGCCCTGGCTGGCCGTGCGTGGCTGCACCAAACACCGCGGCGTTGCTCTAAACGCCACGGCAGCACGGGGAGAAGGGAAAGCAATGGTGGTGGAAGGTCTCCCGATACGAAGTGCCCCACCAACGCCGAGGTCAACATCCAAGCCGTCGCTGCCTGCCCGCCCGAGGATGCAAGGGGGGGAATTAAGTCACCCCCCAAAAGACGGCCTAGCTGTTTTTTCGGGGGGGGGGGGTCAAAATAAAATAATTCCCGGCCTTATTTTGTGAGAAACACGGTAACATTCCATTCATTTCATTCCAGTCTCTCTGGTGATAATCAGTTGTATCTTCTCCACTGATCAGACAGTATTTGAGGGATATGGAAAATAGATTTTCTGGGCTACTACTATTAAATCCTCCTATCAGCCAGAGATTTTTTTGAGTCAATAATGTAACATAATACATAATAAACTGCAGTTGCAGTTTGAAGAGTTGCTGCTAGGAGCAAAGCCTCTTCTCAAACAGAATCAAGGAAGGAGGGTAGAAACAGTTCTCCCGTTGCATCTGAGAAGTAGCATGAGTTGGAAGCAAAGATGGTTTCTCAAGCCTGATTGCAGCTCACATAAATATCATCTGATGGACATGTCCCTTAACTCATCTCACATATACTTCATTTCCAATGGAACTGGTATGAAATAATAAGAGTTTATTTCACAGACTATTGGTTTTGCATTTTGTTCCTAGGTTTCTTGACATTTCCCCATTTTCAGCTTGTAACTTTACCAACAAATAAATAAACCCTATTTTAATATTAGAGCACTTTCTGGGTGTAGGAGTAGGTATCTCACAGAAGATAAGCAACAGAACTGTTCCATATCTGCCTAAGAATATAGATAAATAAGCAATGGAGGCAGTAAAACTGGTAAGAAAACCTTTCCCAAATCAGAAAATCTATTCTGGTCCCAGCACTTGTTTTACTATAGCCATCAGTTGAGACTTTCTAGAAGAGATTGGACTGTCATTTGTCAGAAATGGTGTAGGGTCTCCCACTTGGGTGGGGGGTTGGACTAGATGACCTACAAGGTCCCTTCCAACTCTGATTATCTGTATCTAAGTTTCTCTTGTCAAGAATGCATATTGTCCAAAATCTCTGCTAAATGTGTTTTAAAGGTGCTTTTAAAAACCACATACTGTTGGCCATACCTGCCATTTGCATTTCTAGAATCAGCAGTGTGATACACAAAGTTATAGAGAGAACATTACTGTTAGGGTAGATAACGATGGAATATTTCATTAAATGTTAAACAAATTTATCCGATCTTATCCTGAACTGGAGTGGCTAGCAATATCATAATACTAATTTCTTAGTCTACATTCCTTCTATCTATCTCTTTGCACAGACATCCCTTTTTTAAAGAAAGTATTCTTTCATACATACTTCAAATGTAAAAATTTAATTGCGAATTATAATTTGTAGATACTGAAATGGTTCTTACCTGCACTGTTTGTGTTTTTGAATTCTGGAAATTGTATGGAAGTAATTGTTTCCAAAAGCTTTCCTTTGAAATGTCAAAACTGGTGCACATTGGTGAATTGTTTTGTTGAATGTTAAACCAGACCTATAAAAATGTTATTTTAAAAATGATTTACAAAATATATTTATATACTATATATTTTTATAAATCTAACTCAATCTAAAAAACATCATGATTTTAAAATATTATAACATTTTTGATGTGACACATTTTTAATTTGTAAGAAATTAAGTATCAAGAAAGTTGTGAGTTCGTATCTTTACTAGAAGTCTAAAAAATAGATTTCTTATTTCTCCTATATTAATTTATATTCATTATACTATGTTTCACTTATATAGTGAATTTATATAAATTCACTACAAGATACAAAACTCTTGGTGTCATCTCATTCAATATTTTTCCTTGCACATGAATGCAGTTGTAATTTATAACTTAAACATATACATTTGACTAATATCAGCAAAATATATAGAAATAAAATAGGGAAAAATTATTTCAGTTTAATGGCATCATATTCAGAAAGAGAAATATGTTTTTAAAAAAGAATAGCTTTCAAATTTTAGCTATATTAGAAAATAGTTTTTATTTGCTCAAGCATATTACTAATTCTTTCCATGTACACAAGTATTGTTTATTTTTGAGTCCTCCATGAGTTTCTTATGCTGAGACATTAAAATAAATGTCATATAAAATAGATAATTAAAATGTGTGCTTCTTGTTCAATCTATTTCTTTTGAATAAAAGTAACTGTAGAACCCACATTTTATAGGACATACAAGAAAGTGATTAATCTTTTCCTCCCTATTTTCTCATTTAAATTTTGTTTCAGAAATTTTTGTTCGCAGTAATATTAATTGAGGAGGTTTCACATTAGAGAATAGTGCTGGGGAAAATTTCTTCCAATTGGGACCTGCTAGAAGAAAATTTACAAATTTGTCATGTTT